CCCTTTGGAAGAGAAAAAAACGAACGATGAAATTGAAAAGTCGTCGGCGCAAATATTTTTTAATCGAAGTTATTTTTGTACGTTCCGATATACCTATTATTGACTGCGACTGACTTTCGAGTAGCAAGACTCTCGAGTCTCTCGTTAAACAACGCGGTATTAGAGATGTCGGTCTTCGAAAGATTCGCAAATAAATTGTTGCTTGTCGCGCGTATGGAAGGAAGATAATGCTCGGCGTGAAAAATAAAAATATTTATTCCACCAGCGGCGAGGCGATAAGGTTTATTGACTCGCAATTACACCGCGTCGAATTAAATCGAATGGACATGCAAATGATCCCGAAGGTGTTGAACGGTTTACAATTTCACATCGCATTTGCATACGCCGTGAACAATGCAAAACGTGTCTGGGGCGTTTTTTTCAATTTAAAAAAACTCCGATTATTTCCACCGATGACACAAACTCGTCGGGATTTTAATTGCATCCACCTCGCGTATCGTTAATTAATCGAACATCTCTCTACCAAGAGGAAGAAAATGGCGGACGGGGGAGGGGGGGGGGGAAGTAGTAGTGTCGTTTACGAACGAAAAAGATTCACTGAAGCGCATTCAGGTGAATCGTTTGCCCGTGAAGAATCGAGAAACTCGATAAAGTTGAATTGAAAAGTATTGGCACGGTGCGTGGCCAACGCGGGGAGTAATGCGATAGGCGTTGTTGACTCGCGATTATAAACGTGTTGCGCCGCACTGCAATGAGCTTTACGATCGCCCCGTTGAATATAAAACGCGGATCACGGGTTTTCGAGGAAGTTGCACGCCCCGACGTCCTTGATTCGGTTCGGCGAAATTTTTTTTCTCCCCGGAATGAATGTATTTAAACGCTCGTATCTTTTTTTTGATTTATCGCGCGCGTGTATCGCGTACATTGTGCACACTTTGGATCGTAAATAGCAGATAAAAAAGAAAAAAAATAAAATAAAATAAAGCAAAGTGGAATAAAAAAAGGGGAGAGGGGAAGGAGAAACGAACATTGTCGTCGCGATGCATGGAATGATCGATAAAACAATCTCTCGAGAGTTACGCGAACATTTTTTTTTTCGTTTTTTTCATTTATCACTTTTAATTCTTCGATTTCTATCCGTTATTAAAAAAAAAAAATCTAATCGTTTCCCTCCCGATCCAAAAAATAACCATCTAAAACGAAACGTTAAAAACAATGGAGAGGAGAAATTGAAACAATTTCTAAGACAGAATTTCAAAATAATCTTCGCCCGTCTCTATCCTTCGAGAATCTCCACTACGAATCTCGAACCTTTTAAAAAATTACGCGCATATTTATGAAACCGGACGTACCGTGAATATGATTCGTTCTCTTCTAATTAAAACGAGCAACGAACTGTGCCCAGGTACAACAGTGTATCGCGAACAGATCGAAGTATTCGAGCCACGGGCGCAAAATAACGATCGCTAATGATGTCGGTCTTCGACATTCTCTCTCTCTCTCTCTCTCTCTCTCTTTCTCTCCGTTTCTGTCCGTCGATCCCATAGGCAGTGCCTCCATAAATCACTCGCTCGCCGTCAGACGTATGCAGATCATTCTCGTTCCTACCTCGGGAAAATAAGTCTTCTTTTGTGCACGAGTGTTCTAAATTACGAAACGTGTGTCTCGTTCTTCGAAACGGATCGAAGACGAAGTAATTAACGCGTGGGTTCGAAGATCGAAACATCTGAGGAGGGGGGAGGGGAGAGGAGCCCTTAATTATCTCATTCAATATTTGCCACGCCGAAAACGCGCGGTTCAATTTTCATCGAGATATATATATATATATGTGTGTGCGTATATATATATATATATATATTCGGCTTTTGTGTTGGTTTGCGGAATCGAGCGCGATGATAGGAGAGGCGGGAGGGGGAGGCGGGCTTAAGCGCGAATACCAGACACGAACACGATCGATCGAAATATATTCAGGGACGCGCGATTCATTCATACGATATAATGGAATATGCCGGGGAACGTGCACACACGTGGAAACGCGACACGATTTCGCACGCACGCGGTCTTCTTCGCTCTTGCCGCGAAACACCTGATCGAGAATCGAGTCGAGTCGAGTGTTTGAGAATCGAACATTTTCGAGCTCGAGGCTCGTACGTGTAAACGTGGACCGAGGGATTGTCGAGTTTCTGCTTTTGAAAGGCAAAGATGGGATGGTGATGGTTATCGTTATTAATAATAATACAATCTCCGTTTTTCTTCTTTTTTCTCTCTTTTCTCTTTTTTTTTTTTTTTCTCCGATTAATACTTTTCGATATTTCTCTCTTGACGATTCTTTTCGTCAAATTGTTGTTCGATTCGAACGAGTTTTATTTTATCGCGATATCGTGCGGAACATTGTTAGGCACCACTTTTAAAAATATCCCGGCAAGTGTGATAGTCGTGCGGGTATTAATAGAGCGTAATACTATGCGCTATATTCTGTCGAATGCTATAGCGTGTGATACAAAGTTCGATGTATCAACACGAGATTGTACTCGACACACGTTATTGCGTGATTAGTTTTTGTATATATATGTGTATATATTTCGGATATAGTGAAAACAGAAGCTTAGAAGCTTCTTTGTTAATTTAGCAAAACACGTTCTTTTCTTTTCCACGTTACGAATAAATAAACAAAAATCGATATTACGAATGAAAAAACGAACTCAGAATTACGATACACATTTCAAAAACCATAAAAAAAAAGAATCGTATCGACCATTATTTCGTGTCATTATTTCATCACAATTCGAAGAATCTCACCTCATTTTAAATCACGATATACACCTTATATATATATATATATAGGTCGATCAGCTGGCCTGGCCGTGTGAATAGTTGGAATTCCGCCTCTGGGTGGCGATCGCATAGGACTCGCGGGAAAATGCGTATTTAATTTCAATATCGAAACTGAGATAACGCGCGCTCCACGCCTCGTAACGCTTTCTAGGTATGCGGTTGTGAAATCCTCTCGGCTGGTCATTATGTCAGTTTCATAATGCCGCGAGTGCTCGGAGGCGTACATTTTTGATTCCTGTCGCGTCGCAGCCCGATATTGCATCGATTTTCCTCTTTTTCTCGCTCGCGTCTCGGCCCCGCTCTTTTCTCTCGGCCCCGAGCAACGGAATTCTAATCCTCAGCCACTGTTGAATGGACAAAAATGGGGAACGCGAATATCCCGCGCACGATTCCTCGCGAGCCCGTGTTCCATGCGTCCCCCGATCGTTTGGAAAGTATTTCGATTCAACGGAATTCCCTCGACGTTTTGCTCGATTTCTTGAAACGATCCACCACCTCCCCCCGTCGCGTTTTTTGATCAGCGTGGCGGTGGCTCGGTGCTGTAATTTAAAAGGGATCGGTGCCAAATAGACGCCAAGCATTGGCCTGTTTACAAAGTGTTATTTATCGATGATGGGTAATCGAATTCCTTTATGTTATTTCGCGTGAAATCTGATCCCACTTTTTGTAATTAGAAGCGGAAGATTGAACGTATAAATAGATGATAAATAGATGAGTTTTGTATCGATTTTCCAGAGAGTATTTCGTTCCATTTTCGAGTATTCGACACGATCATTTTTTTCATCCTCGTCCATCACAATTTTTCTAATTTTACTTCGTACACTTGGTATGATGAAAATAGAGCTCAGACTCATTGAACCCTTTTCAACTTCGACGTATTAAAGCGTTCTCTTTTAATTACCAATGACTCACGAAGGTTTTATCTTAGTAACAGAAGGAAGAGAGAGAGAGAGAAAAAAGGAAAAAAAGAAAAAAAAGAAAGTCTGCGACACGAAATTTAATTACGACTCTCATATTTTTACGTCCAATTTTCAATTATAACTCGTTCGCTCACCGCTTCAATCGAGTCGGCCAATCTTTTACGTATCTTGCTTTTCTAATGTCAATTTTGTCGACCCTGTTACAAAGTAAATCCCGTAAACAACACCGATAACCGCGTTATCGTTTCGCGATATTCGTGGGATCCACGATTTTCTCTCGCCTCTCGTCACTATTATTCCTCCTAGTTTCTCGTTTCTTTTTTTTCCTTTCCTCTTCCTCTCGTCTCCCTTCCCCCTTTTTATCCCCACCTTTTTCGCCCCACCAAATTTATTCTCGGATAAGGATCTAAGGGTTACGTGCTTATCTACGATTTTGACGGACGAACCGAAGATTCGAAGAGAAATCCGTGTTCGGATCGATCGTTTGTTGCACGAAGGATAAATTATTCGATGGTTGGAAAATCGCGATGGTATCGCCTCGGGGAGAGGACTGTGTTCGTGATGCAACTCACAAAAGAATCGACACGCCTCGTGTAAAACGTATGCGGCACGTTGACGCGTCGAAAGGAACCGGATACCATGCTCTCGAATTTTTTTTCTTCTCTCTCTCTCTCTCTCTCTCTCGTCCATTCATTCTGATCGAACGGATGCAGGAGCATCCACTTATCTCTTGGATCGAGCCGAACCGAGCCGAGAAACTGATAAAACGGACGGAGAGAAACCGATACGAAACGCAAAAGATCGATAATCCAAGAATGGAGAATGGTAATCCATTACGGGGAAGTAAATAAGTGATCATTATCCACGAATAAAATTACGAGAAGAATTACGATCAAACGCACACGCGTTTGAATACGTTTGTTATATAAATTCCTTATCAATCCATCGTTTCTCGATTTCCTCCTCGATGAAATCGAAAGGAAAATCCTCCGAGGCGATCTGGATTACCGATTCCCCCCCCCTCTCCGAACTGACTGAATGATATCCACGATTCGATCCGAGTTCGCGTCGAGCCACTGCGTTTCCTCGATTGCGCGAGGAATAAATGAACGAGTGAAATTGTTGCTCGATTAATTTATCCTCACTTATCCCGCTTTGTCACTTGATCTTAAACTCGAGTCACGCGAGTTAACTCGAAAGGTGCCGCTTGTTCGATCCGTTTGTTTTTTTTTTCCTATTTTGCAGAAGAGGAGAGATCGAGGCGGGTAAATAGGCGAAGCGAGGGCGATCGAAGCAAAAGGGACGATCGAGGAGGAGGTGGAGGAGGAGGAGGAGGAGGAGGAGAAGGAGGAAGTGGAGATAACAAGGGCATGATAAGCAAGGACACGGGCGTTGGACGAATATCAGGTGACACGGTAGACGGTATCCAAGGAAGGTTGAACGTTGTCCAGGAAGGAAGGAGGAAGGTGTATCGACAGATTCGCCGTCTTGTCTCACGGCAACGGATGTCGGAATGACGCGTCGATCAAGCCGTGGCTGGGCAGAGGGTGCAAGGACTTCGTTAAACGGAAGAAAGTGATAGTCGTGGCTCGCTTCGGAGGAGGCGGAGAGGCGGAGTTCGTTGGAGAAGGGAGAGGAAGAAGAAGGAAGCGTCGGAGATCGTCGAACTTATCAGGTAACTAGATAAGGTATTTTTAATATTCTTTTTTTATTTATTTATTTATTTATTTATTTATTCTTTTTCTCGAGAAAGTTGAAGGAAGCACAAATTTTAATGTTAACGGGTAAAGGAGATGATAAAACTAGTCTTGAACGGGTGTCCGTCCTCTTTTTAAAGTTGATCGTTTTTAAAGTAATGTTTAAAGATCGAAGAAATGGAGATTCATCGGATTGTTAAAATGATATTTAAAATAAACGTTTCGATGTTGAAAGATATATATCTCGTCGTCGCGTGGATCAAAGGCTCCCAATAAACGCAACGTTATTTTCAGAAGCGATCGTGGGCTCATTGTCTCGTCACTCTCCAGCAACGGCGACGGATAACGTCCTCTCGTCGCTATCATGATGTTATCGTTATGAGATTCATCGTATTTCCTTATACCTGACAGTCGAGAATACTGTCGATTACTTCTTCGAACGGAGAGGTGAATAAAATAGAAGGGATCTCGAGCGGACCAAGTAAAAAAAAAAAAAAAAAAAAAAAAAAAAATCACGAAAATCACTATATAAGAGGACACGGAAAAAGGAAAAAGAAACGAGACTACCAAAGAATTTGATTCGGGGAGGAAGAGGGTCAAAGTTAACTGACCGAAAGCACGCAGTAGCAAAGGAAACAGTGATCTCGTTTAACCTTGAAGAGGAGAGAGAAGAGAGAGAGAGAGAGAGAGAGAGAGAGAGAGAGAGAGAGCATCGTAAATCGTAGAACGTAATCGCGCAAGGACAGGCAACCGACTGTCCGTGTGGCTGTTGCGTTGGAAGGGTGCCGATAAAAGAATAGAGGGGTGCGTGGTGAAACGCGACGAGAGGGTGAAGTGAAGGTGTCCTCGTGGGGTGCCAGAGTGAGCACGATAGCACCTCTGGTGCCCTCGGCCGTGGGTCCCGAGGGGACGGACGCCATGGCGGCCTCTTCGTCCTCGTCGAGCGGCGAGCAACAGTACTCACTCAGGTGGAACGACTTCCACTCGAGCATCCTCAGCTCATTTCGTCATCTCAGGGACGAGGAGGATTTCGTGGACGTGACCCTGGCATGCGACAGTAGCAGCTTCACCGCGCACAAGGTCGTTCTCTCTGCGTGTAGTCCTTACTTCCGCCGCCTCCTCAAGGTCAGTACTTTTTCTCCTTTCGTTTCTTTCCCTTCTTTCTCTTTCTTCTTCTTCTTTTTTTTTCTTTTTGGATTTTGGATTTCAGGCATTTGCACTTTATACGAGGTGTCTCTCTTTGCACAATTTTATTTATTTATTTATTTATTTATTGATTTCGTGAAAATTAGTAAAAGCAACGTTAGTCACGTCGAAGAGCTTATATTGATATCGAAAAAAGATTGAGAAACATAGGAATCAATCAATTAATTAAGAGACAGTATCGTTTTTTTTCTTCAATTTATTATTAAATCGTATACAAAATTTCGCGTCCACTCTCAATTAAAATATCGCGTTAAATTATAACCTCGAATATATGATTTTCCTTTTCTTAGCGCAATTTATGTATTTTTTTCAACGATGCATCGGCTATCTCTGTTTTCTCTTCGATTGGTAGAAAATAGTGAAATCGATTCGAACAGGTTAATTGTATTGCGAAAAAAAGGGATGACGTTCTCGGTGGAATTCGGCGAACGTGTTACGTTTCGATATTCTGTTTTGCCAAATTGCCGCGCGAAGTGAAATCGCTTTCGCGGGAAAAATTCGTTCTCGGTCCGCCGGTGCATGGAGAAGCAATCGTATAACAATTGTATTTTAATTTGCACGAATAATATTTGATGTTCTTCCATCGTTGGAAACTCACGAAGAATGGATATTTCGGAATAACAATTTCGATCGAGGAAAACAATGTGTTCTATTCCCCGCCCTGCGTGGGCGCGAATTATCGTGGCAAAGAAAAAGTAATTTTTTTTTTGTATTTCTTTTTCTCAACCGACCAAGACGGATAGAGGGTAGAGATAGGACACCGATTCCTTCGACCGCTACAATTTCCTGTAACGTCAGTCACATAAATCGCGTGTACAACATTGTTGCATGAATTAGAATCGTACCATGTTATTTTCCTTAATCAAGCCAGGATAATTGCTATCATTTCCATTGCGGTCTTTGCAGTAATAAAAAAAAAAAAGAAAGAAAGAAAGAAAGAAAGAACAAACCTGTAGAATTTAATATCCATTTAATGCAAGTGAAACGAACGTGTTTTAATACGCGTTTGTATCAAAACCTTCTATTACCTTTTAAATTTTCTTGAAAATTATTCGAGAAATCGGGTATGAAAAGGCCAATTTACACCGTGCCAACGTTCTCGTGCGCATAATGCACACGAGAGTCAATAAAATTCGGACGATTCATCCCGTTGGTGATTTCGAGAACGGAAGAAAGTAATTACGGCCACCGTGAAGGGAAGAAACGACTTCCGGCTGGATTTACATAATAAGTGGACCCCTTCGAGCGTCGTCAGGGAATTCGAATCGTTGGCCAAACGATTATCGATCACTCGAACGTGTCGTCACGACATCGTCCATCCCCCTTCGAGAACCCCTCGTTTTCCCCCAATTCTTTTCTTTCTCGATCGATAGAAAGAGACTTCTAAATCGTTTCGACCTTGGATAAAACGATCGATAATCGAGACACCATTTGGAGAACGGAATTGAAATTCAGAGAACGGAAATTCAATCGGCGAATTATTTCATGTATTTTAATTTTACCCGCACTATCCGAGAGGAGAAATTTATGGAAAAACTAGATACGCGTAGATATCCAAAGAATCCCTGGTCGAGTAATGTCGAGTATCTATGGATTATTAAGCTCGATAGAATTTTTTCCCTCGAGATATAAATCAAACAGATTGTAGAGAGAACCTACCTACCTATTTATGCTTTCGTTTCGTCGATACTTAAATATACGAATTAAATACAGTTTCAAAAAAAAAAAAAATGTAACGTTAGTTCGATAGTTTATTTAAAAATTCGCAAAATGGGGGAAAAAAAGAATAAGGATCGTTCCACATATTACATTGCCCGGCTCGGCAAGAGATCGACATCGGCTAGGCCAACTCGACTTTCTAATTGACGTGTACCGCTAATTGATTTTAAGTGTCAGTCACGGTACTACTTGCTCTTGAGCATCGAGTTAATAACGATTCGTCCTCGTGTTTGCGACACTACGTCATACGAGAGGAGCGAGAAGCAGTGTAATATCGCCGCTTAAATATAAGTCACGCGGACGATGTAATAAAAATCATGCGTTGCGCGGCCACGAAGGTGGAGTCTCTGCTCATTAACATCCAACGTTATTATACTTTCACTGGCGTCCCAGTGGCGTTGGAACGTTTGTTTAATATTCGTAGGCACGTCGGGTTGGCGATTATTATTACTCCTGGTTCGCTATGTAAAAATTGTTGAGAGAGAGAGAGAGGGAAATGGGCGTCGTGGAAGGTTGAATTGAAGCCTTGCGGTACAATTGGCCAGGATTAACAGCGAGGGAAGAGGATCGAAGAGGAGGAGAGTCGGCCGGTCCGAATATTTTCGCGTCCGATATTCTCGATATCGCGCGCAACGAGATAACGAGTCTGCCCGAACCACCTGACAGCCGTGTTTCGTTTTGATTTATGCGTTAGTGCGCACACCGGTGCGACGATTTACGGCAGACCGTTCATTTGACTATCGGCCGGCACTCGATGACGAATCACTGAGTTATCGACTACGTCCGCAATCATATTTGCCAAAATACGATCTCCTCTCCGTGTACGCGATCCCGTGTATCGATCATAAATTTCAACCTGGATCGATAAAATGCAGCACAGACAATGGCCCGTGGCTCGAGAGATAAAATTTCCGGGGATGCGCGATCGATCGATGCGAAAATTCGATATATTTTGAAGGAAAATTCTAATAACGCGATATTATCTCTAATATTTTAATCATCTTCAAACTTTTTCGAACGCTTCAATTGTTAAAAGTTCTTTTGAATCTTCATTTACGGAATATTTAATAACACTAGTTGTTGGCTTCTTCCGCGTATCCATTCCAACATAGTTATCATATACGCGATGTTTATTTATTAGATTAGAATACTTTCTTTTTTTTGACGACATCTTCGTCTCCTCCACCGAGTTTCGATCCAGTTTCTCAGCTCTCTCTCTCTCATTAAATTGATCGTAACTTCGCGCAACGAACTTACGATGAACGCGGCTCGAGGCAAGATAATTTCGCTTGGAATGAAGAGAAGCCAAGGCAAGTGTCCAGCCAAGTTGCAGCAATGTTATTAAAACACGCGTGTAACGGCGTGTCATTCTCCTCCCCGCGGAATAAGTACAAGATGCATCGGAAGTTACGGTAATAACGCTGCTGGAAGATTAATTCTTCTCCACGGAGCGGTGGTGATCGCGGTCGCCGTGGAGCATTAATGCAGTTATCTCGATGCGTGACAGTCTTGGAAAGGAGTGCCTTCTTAGCATGGATCTTGACCGATCCAGGGGAGGAAGGAGAGAAGGATATACGGTGGAAAACAGGCTTGACTAGTTCTCATAGTTTATGGCCGAGTTAATGCCTACGATCGTATCGAACCTCGGGGTAAATTGTTCTATGATTTCTCTACGATCTACTCGATATCTTCGATATAAATTTCACGGATTCCATCCTCCGTGATAATTCCGCGTGTATAATGGAAAAGTAAAAGATAAAGAAGAAAGAAAATCACACAGAACCACAGATCGCGATTCACAAATAGATCGCTACATTGTGATGTGATTCGTTGATTCGAGGAATCTGAATGCGTTCTCGTTGAACGGACTGTTCTGGAATGCGTTGGAGAAGAAGAAGAAGAAAAACTCGAATCTGCGTGGAGGGAAAACGATCGAAAATCGAGGTGAATTCGTGTTTTATCGAGAGTTTCTTGGTTCTTGGCTTTACGAGATGCGGTATGAATATTCGAATCATCGAGGTAGAGTTATTCGGATTTGATCAGAATTGTCGACGAAGAAGTCGCTGGAATCGTAAGGCTATATTAATCGCAAGATAGAGGTGTACGCATCGCGAGAAATATGTGGCGTGAAAATAATGATATAAAAGGGACGGATGGGCGCGAAAATGGAAGCGACGACAGCGTTATTTCGAGCGTTATTTGGAAAAGCAATATCGCCAGTGTGGTAAATTACAATGAGGTGAGGCCGGGTGAGACGCGTGTTATAATTGGAGAACTAAAGGGCGGGTGAAATCCAATCGATCCGATCGAAATTGATATCGCTATCGGTGCAGGATGGTTTAAAACATAGCAATAGTGAATACAAAGTTTACGAGAAATAAAATATTATATTGTTTACGCGAGAAAGAGAGAGAGAGAGAGAGAGCTTGTTATCGCGAAATTGTCAACTTTATCAATTTTTATCGATATTAATATATAAGCCATCAAAGAAAGTAGATACGTTTATGAAGTAAAATTCTTCGTATAAATCTCTCGTTCATAATACCGTACACCTTCCAGTCGGATCCTCTAGAGATCAAGCGTGTTACGAAAAAAATTATTCTTTTAATTCGAAAATTTGACTCGATCGGAATCATCTCTAGGACTTTGAAAAAAAAAGAAAAAAAATCTTGGAGGATCGTTAACAACAAAAATAAAAATCTCGAGAAAATGTGAAAACCGTTTGTTCCGAATATAAACGAGCCAAGCCATCCAACCGGAGAGAGGGTTGACGATCGAAGCTAGAGAGGTTCGGTTAACCCAAATCCAATTCCTCGCCTCGTCCGTGTCTCCGAGAGGGAATCTGTTTCGAAAGAAAACACGAAGAGGAAGGGAAGGGGGAATCGATGGGAGAGACTTAGCCGCGTATCGTGAAGGAAAGAACGACACGTGGTGAGAGCAAGGAACAGAAAATTACGCTTGCACAATCCCATCGCGTGGCGCGGTGGCGGGCAAGGTGCTCCATATTCTATATTTAAAGGCGTGCGCAGGCCTCCTCTCCGGCCTTTGAAAAGAGAGAGACGGAGGGAGGATCTTAACACGTGCGTGTGCGTGAGTACGCACGCGCTCACGATCCCTCGCCCTCGCGTACTCGCGCGCTACTTGCTCGCTCCTCTTCGTCTCGTGACCGATCGCATTTAAATTTACCAATGCGATGCTCG